CACTACCAAGACGCCGATTAGAGCGGGTGAACTCAAAGCTGGCCTCTATTATTTCAGAAATGCAGTGAATCTTGCAGTTACTCGAACAACGGATATTCAGTCTTTTGAAGTGTGCACAAACGGTTGGTCATCCCGCGTCAAGTATACTTGGGAAGATTCCGAGTTAGAATTTTATTTCGTCAATAAGCACTGCGATGTTTGTTTGCGTGCAAAACAAACCCGAGATTCGTTTCCCTTAAGTATCAATAAAAGTTCAGCAATTTTTGAATTAATTCACTGTGATTTGTGGGGGCCTTACCGAACTCCTTCATTCTCGGAAGCACGGTATTTTTTTACCATCGTTGATGATTATTCGCGCGGTACTTGGATTTATTTACTGAAAGGGAAACAAGAAACGACATCACACATCTGACATTTTTTGGATCTTGTGGAGCGACAATTCCACACAACCGTTAAGAAAATTCGATCCGACAACGGTTCCGAGTTCGTGTCTCTGCAGAGTTATTTTGCTGAAAAATGTATTTTGCACGAGACATCATGCGTCGGAACTCCGCAACAAAACGGAAGAGTTGAACGAAAACACTGGCATATACTGATATAGCCGGAGCTATTATAGATATATATATACATATATATATATATATATATGCCCTTGTTCTTGTAGTGGTAGTGGCGAGTGAATGTATCACGTTTTGTCTATGGGTTTAGGGTTTATTGTCTGTCACTGCTTTTGTTTGTGTAGAGTATTTCGTCCTCCGTAAACCTCACAGAACACTCCGATCTCAACCCCTCGTGTGCAAGAAAAGAGAGAGAGATGCGAGACAGAGTTACGAGTTCAGTACCGAGTCCTAACACTCGGTACCTACGTCTCGGGAAGAGGAAACAGCGTTTGTCGCTAGGGTTACAGCCGGAAAACACACCGGAAACTGATCGGAATCAGTTTCTCAACACAGAACAAGAGAGAGAACCTAGAGCCACACAACCGAAGAATCCAGAAGAAGTTGCACGGAAATGAGAACCCCTTAGGGTTTCATAACGCGTCTCCTCCAAAATGACGATGCTGCCCCTCCGTCCTGTTGGAAGCCTCCCTCTCCATCCAAGGCTTTGAGAGCCTCTAGTTCACACCAAGGTTTTTACTGAAGACGTGTCAACAAATCTCCACCTTCTTCCGGAAAAACCTGCAACAGAAAAAAAACTACGCCACCGAATCTGTACCCTTTGTTTCCCTTTTACTTCCATTTTTAACTCCACCTCCCGGCATGATCCAAGGCGCATTGGAACACCGTTATTAGAGGAGTTCTTACCGAGCGTGTCATAAACACGTCTCAGCGTGACACGACGCCCTAACCTACCCAAGCGAGTGTCCCCCGACACCTCCGCTTCCGAAAGTTTCCTAAGACCTAGACTAGTATGACTCCCTAGACCATCTAAGTGACCCCCTCCGGTGAAGTCTATACCTCACCAATGGCCCCTCGAGGGTCACGCCCCGACATCTACCCGTCCCCCGAGTCTACCCCGACTGCCCCGAGACTAACCTTGAGTCATACTAACACACCTAACTCTTGATCCCCGTAAAGATCAAGCGACCTATGACCTCTATCCCGGACCCCACCTACCGACTAAGGTGCCTCCACGGGTTTTACTCCGTGAAGACTCCCCTAGTCGACCTATAGGAACTCTACCGAAGGCTCGGAACACGTGCAAGCACGTGCTCCACCCCGAGAGGAAATGCCCCTAGCGCTACTACCCTCACCGACTCTACCCGGTGACCCGACATTCCCTCGCTCGCCCCTTCCCCTGAGCTTCCTACCCGAGGTAACTCCACCTAGACGTGGAGACCTCACCTCCGAACCTCCACCCGAGGAGTAGTCGGAGCATACTAGAAGTACCTCCGAATCATACTCCTGAACCGAGGCTACTACCCCCTTACCCTCGGTCTCCTCCTTCGCCCTCCGGGACCTACACTCCTTCTTATAATGTCCCTTCTTGCCGCAATACCAACACTCCACCTGGTCTTTGGCCTTCTTCTTCCCGCCACCCGATTTCTCGGGTTTGCCCTTGACCACTAATCCTTCCCCCGTACCCCGAGTAAGGGTACCCTGAGCTAGAAGCTCTAGCTCCTTCATCCTAGCTGCGGCCTTCACCTCCTCCACCGAGATTGTAGCTCGGGAATATTTCAGGACTTCCCTCAGCTGCTCATAAGCAGGAGGTAAGGAGTTCAGCAGATAAACTGCTTGATACTCCTCCTCTACCTTCACATTTAGGCTGTGAAGGTCGGACAATAGTTTCTGGAAAATGTCTAAATTCTCCTCTATTGTCCTAGAGCTGTCCATCCTAAACCCTAACACCCTCTGCATGAGGTACATCCTATTGGGGAGAGATTGCTCTACGTGCAACCGCTCTAGTTTCCTCCAGTTTCCGAAGGCCGTCCTTTCGGATATGACCTTCCTTAGAACCTGATCCGCTAGAGCAAGCACTATGAGGTTCCTAGCCCTTCTAATCCTTTCTTGTCTCTCCAAGGCTAACACTGACCTAACCAACCTAGATCAGACCTAAACCGAGTCTATTCTGTCCCCCTAAGTCCTAATCAGACCTAAATCAACCCAATATTGACTTACCTACCCCTGATCAGACTTGAATTAATCTAATCAGATCTAAACTAAGTCTAAACCGACCTAATTAAATCTGATCAGACCTAATCTAGCCTAAAATCAACCCTAACAGACCTGTACCTATTGATTTTAACCCTAATACCGACTTCTCACTCACCTAGTTCAGCCAAATCCTCCTATTCAGGCCTAACCGGACAGAATTACCGGACTCTATGACTGAAGACAGGTAACCAAAGTCTACCGCAGATCTAATCTGCCTTTACCTAGGATAGATCGACCTATACAGATCCTAAATACCCTATACCAGACAGAATGCCCTAAGAACCGGACTCTATCTAACCCAATCGAACCAATCAGACCTAAAACCAACCAATTTAAGTCCTAATCAGACAATCCTGACCCTAAACCGACCAATCTAGACCTGTTCTAATCGATACAGACCCTAAACCAGACAAACCCAGCCCTATTTGGACAAATCAGACCCTAATCAGACCTAAACCGGCCCAATCCCAATCTAAATTGACCTAAACCGGACTCTATTGTCCTAAACCGGTCCTAGATTGACCTAAACCGGTCTGGGTTATCCCGAACCGGACCTAAATTGACTCGAACCGGTCTGAACCGGTCCAATTGACCCCAAACCGGACCTGAACCAGTCCAATTGACTTGAACCGGTCCGGTTTTCCTAACCCGGTCAACTGTCGACCAGAAATTGGTCAACGTTTGACCTAACCCGACTAAACCGGTTCGATTTTAAATCGAACCCGGTTCAATTAGACAATTTCGGTTGAACCGGCTAAACCGGATCAGAACCGAAAACCCTAATTCGGAACACGGAAGCCGCCGAGTTAACCCGAGCCAACTCGGACGTTGACTCAACCCCGAAGACGACTCAGTCGTGACTCGAACGAGTCACGGCCAAGACTCACCGGAAAATACCGGTTTTCACCGGTTTCTCCCTCCCCAACCCTAGATCTAACACAAGACGCAACCGACTTACCTCTGCGGACTCAAACTCGTCCGATTTCTTCGACCCGAGTTAGCTCCGAGAGAAATCTTGTTTTCCTCACCTCCGATCTGTTCGCCACCGGCTGATTCACCGCCGATTCAACCTTCAGAGCTTCACTTTTTCTGTTTCGCAACCTGAAACACCTAAAAGAACCGTCAGAACGCTCAGATCGGAACTTACCAGATTCAACCTTACCTGGATAACCGAGACACCGCCGAGATCCACCGGAAAAAACGCTTCGACCAGGGCTTCTGATACCACTTGTAGAGTAATCATCCTCCGTAAACCTCACAGAACACTCCGATCTCAACCACTCGTGTGCAAGAAAAGAGAGAGAGATGCGAGACAGAGTTACGAGTTCAGTACCGAGTCCTAACACTCGGTACCTACGTCTCGGGAAGAGGAAACAGCGTTTGTCGCTAGGGTTACAGCCGGAAAACACACCGGAAACTGATCGGAATCAGTTTCTCAACACAGAACAAGAGAGAGAACCTAGAGCCACACAACCGAAGAATCCAGAAGAAGTTGCACGGAAATGAGAACCCCTTAGGGTTTCATAACGCGTCTCCTCCAAAATGACGATGCTGCCCCTCCGTCCTGTTGGAAGCCTCCCTCTCCATCCAAGGCTTTGAGAGCCTCTAGTTCACACCAAGGTTTTTACTGAAGACGTGTCAACAACTGCCATTTTCTTCGACATTACCTCGTCACCAAAACCATCATTCGTCGGCATGTTTCAACTCATCATCAGCTCGCCGACACCTTCACTAAAGCTCTTGGCGCGAAGGAGTTCGAAATGTTCTTATCCAAGTTGGGCGCTCACGACATCTACGCTCCAACTTGATGGGGGGTAATGGAAATATGTATCTAATGTATATTGCGATCGCTTATTTTCCGGAGTTTCATTTAATCACCGATTGAATTTCATGTTTTGGAGCTTAGGTCAAACCTCCTCTGCCTTCTCTCTTGGTTGTATTAAAAAGGCTCTGTACATAAATAACAAGGACACAGTTTTTCGATTCAATATTTTGCGGCTCGATACATGACAGGAACCGATATTTAGGGTTTATTAAGGGTTTTATTCCCGATCTTATTTTTTTTGTTTTGAATTTGGTATCTCGCTTGAATTTTTTTTTTAGTTTTTATGGATATATTCTTTTTTTAAAACATATTTTTAATGATAAATTTATCTATGTGTAAAAAAAATCTGCAAAACTACGCGAGTGTATCGATGGGATTGTTCGAAAGTTTTTTGTGATCATATTCCTTATCCTATCAATATGACATATTTGACAATATTAACGATATCAAATGTCTCCAGGGTCTAACTCGAATTCCTACTTGCAAACCGAAAAAAACACTCGAACCGAAGATTTTGGTTGTTATTTTTCTTAGTTTAAACAAAGAGTGAAGACAAAAAAAAACATATGTATAAATGTTACAAGTATAACTGAACTCATCAACAAGACATGCTATATATGTATTACAACTTTATGATGAATACCAAAAGGTAGACTAAAGAGTATATTTAGAAATATGTGGGAAAGCCGACCATTAGCTCTGCTTATGTAACTTTTGTGGCATGGATCACAGCAATTCCTGCAATATCATCACATGGCAATAGAGTGATTGATTTCTCAATCCAATTAGTTACAAAAAATGTACAGAAGATTTGAATAGAAAGCCTTGTTAGATATCTGGGATATAAAAAGAAGAACAATAACAGAAAAGTAAATAGGAACCGGATAACTCTTCAAGGCGTGATACACTTTCCTAAAAACGTTATTCCGTCCTATACGAGCAAAGGACTTTCCGGAATACGTCTTTGAGATACAATGAAGAGAGAAGTGATCTTAGTTTGCTCTATTAAGAACACAAACACAAGAAATTGCAAGAAGAAGATGAACAAAAGGCTTTTGTGGGTGTTTTGCAAGAACAACCACAAAAGTGCTCTCAAATCTCTCAAAAAAACGAATAAGATCTGTATTCAATTGTGTTAGGATGTCCAGGGGTGTTAATCAACACTCCAAATGTCGAAAGGTGTGAAGAAATCGGAAGTTTTTCCCGAACGGTCGCGATTTTCCGCTCAATCTGAACTGCTCAGAAAAAACGGGCTGCCCGCCCGTTTTGTCGAGCTACCCGCCCGTTTATTTCTGAATTGCTCAGAAAAAACAGGCTGCCCTCCCGGTTTTCCCGAGCTACCGTCCATTTATTTATGAGCTTTATTCCTCAGAAAAAATAGGCTGCCAGCTCATATTTTTGAGCTGCCCTCCCATTTTTTCTGAGATTACCTTTCACGTTCAAAACCGAACGTAAACTCTTTCGACGTATCCCTAACACTTAGCCAATTCATACCACGTCTTTTACAAGCATTTAACTCCTCCACCATACTTGTAATACACGTGAAACATGAATCCTTTTGAGAGATTCTAAATTCCCATTCATTTACTCTAAAAATACCAACAATCCTCCACCATTTTTAGAGTAAATTAAACAATGGCATATCAAGCAAATAATCATTCATCTCCACAATTCTGCGCATAAATGAAAGTGTCTTTACGATTGAACTTTCACTTAGTGTAATATACCACAATAAACTCGAATTCCGTAGGTGTCGAAAACGATTGAACCTACGTAATCCTAGTTGAGCTACCGCGTATACACACACACAGAATCAATACAATTTCTTGTACTCCTTGACACTATATCGGCCATGTGTCCATATCCCCTTCACAAGCACATAGATGTCGAGCCTCCAACATCTTGAAGCGGCCACACTTCATGCTTGCATAGGTGAATTCTTTCAAATCGTGCTCTGCAACTAAGCACTTTGTCAAAGAATTCATTAAGTATAAACAACCTCTTTACGTTGCATACCAAGATGCTTACCTCGGGATGATTCACTTCTAAGCATCTACAACCACACATTAGAGGATTTAACTCATTGAACTCAAGATCTAACGTTGTATTAGACGTTGAGTTGAGATTCCTCTAACTGTGATTTAATCAATAGGCTCAAGACCCATCCCTATTGTCATTTTGTGCAACATGTCCCTC